TAGGCCAGGCTGGCCTTGAACTCAGAGATCCACCTGCCTCTGCCTCCTGAGTGCTGGAATCAAAGGCATGCGCACCACTGACACCCTCCCACCCCCCATCCTGCCTTAAATTTTTAAAAGGCAAACACTATGTTTAATATAGAAAGTGGCAATTCAGCTTCCTGATGCCTCTCTCTACAGCTACAGCTGACAGATCTGGAATCCAGGTGTTTTTTTTTTCTGGCAAAGCCATGGGTACACCTATCGGCTGGCTCCCCCAGAAGGTTCTCCCTCTTCACTGGCTTAACTCAGAAAGTCACTGTCAAGTTGACTCAACCAACACTAAGACCTTGCAGTCAAAGTCTCCCTGACACCCTGTCCCCCCCCACATGGCAGATGTGGGGAGAGGGTTGCCAACTGTACATGCTGGGGAGGGGCGCGCGGTGGGGGGCATGCTGTCCCAGCTGACACACAGGAAAGCAGGAGTGGAGCGGGCAGGACGCGTCTGGGTGCTGATGGTGTGAAAACAGCTGGGGAACAGCTGGGGAACCAGATGAGCATTGAGTGGGAGAGAGAGAGTAGGGGTGGGGGCAGCGGCCGGGAGGGAACTTCTACCTCATTTCCCCTGGATGCCTCTGTGCTTCCCAGGGAGGCCAGAGCCAGCCTGGCAGGGGACAGGACACAAGCTCCAGGCCTCGGATGCTCTACAGAATGGCCAGTGATGCAGAAGTCACCGAGTCCTTGAACCAACGGCCCTGAGTTGCTGACCCCCTGCTTAGCCATCAGCTTTACTGGCTCAGCGCAGGCTGTGTGTCCTTGAGCAGGCTACCCACTCTCTCTGAGCCATGATGACTGATGGGGGACGTCCTTCTGTATACACGTTTCTCCTATTGGCTGATGAGTAAAACACTGGCCAGTAACCAGTAGAGGCAGGGAGACAGGTGGGGCTAGGAGAATGCTGGAGAGAGCCGCCATAGGAGTAACCGGTCCAGGCATTCTCCAGTAAGCCAAGGCCACATGGAAATACAGAGATTAATAGGAATGGGTTAATAATTAAGACACGGCTAGCCAGTATGAAGCCCTAGCCGTCCGTCAACAGTTTATAAATTAATGTAAGTCTCTGTGAGTTTATTTGGAGCTAAAGGGCGGTGGGACCTATCAGGGCAAGAAACTTCAGTCACAGAAGACTGAAATAACAGGATCTGTATCTAGATGTTTTAACGTGTATGTAATACATGTTCTATTATGCTTGGCTTGTCTCCTGGTGCAGAGTGAGTGCCCAATAGGCATTATTTGCTGTGAGACAGCTGCCACAGGCCTGGTGGTCCTTATTGCTGCTGCCTGTGTCTTAGTGTGACCCATACACCTGATGCTCTCCTACTCTAGCCCTTGAACTCACTGGCTCTGGGGACACTAGCTAATAGGTCCTGACATGATCACAGCTGTGGCAAACCCGTGGCCCACAGGCTGGCTGCCCCCCAGGATAGCTATGAATAAGGTCCAACACAAAAATCATAGGATTGAGTTAAAACATTTTACAGTATTTTCTTTTCTCCCTCACTCCCTCCTTCCCTCCCCGCCCCCTCACTGTAATTCAGTTGCAGGGCTCTGGCATGACAACCTATCTCTGAAACGCCAGAAGGTTGGACATCCCTACTGGGATGGCCCATGTGACTGGGACCACCACTGATCTTGAAGAACTAGCCATGTGCGCAGGAGCTGGGATGGAGGAAGAACCTTCCATAGCACCTTGAGATGACCTGGTCTCACCAGGGCCAGACAGTCAGGGAAATACTGTCACCCACCCCCCCAGGTTCTTACCCACCAAAAGTTGTACAACACAAACACGTCGTTGTGTCACTGACTTTGGGTGATAACATGGCGGCTGGAGGCCTAAACAGGACCGGAACTCCATCCTTTATTTCCTGGTCGCCTCCCGGCTGAGCTGCCCAATGCTCCTCCGTTCCATTCCTACCATTTCCTGTGCAGCTCTCCACGGTGTCATCACCTGCCTCCAACCTAGCTCTGCTCTGCCCATTCTGTCAGGAGCATCTCCCGGGGCTGTGGTTGGGACCCTAAGCTACTGCCCTTGTCTTTGGAGAACGACCTCCATCTCCACCGCTGAAACTCCCAGAGCCTGACTCCTCCCCAGTGTGCCCTGAAATTCGGAGTTGAGTTGAATCCATCTGCAGGTGACTCCCGAAATGACCTGGGATCTGGTCTCCAGTTAAAAGTCTGGATTCAGTCTACAGAGTGAGTTCCAGGACAGCCTCCAAAGCTACAGAGAAACCCTGTCTCGAAAAACCAAAAAAAAAAAAAAAAGTCTGGATTCAGTCTCCTCCGTGGCCTTACGGTTAGGCCTGGAGGTCTGAATGCCAAAACTAGGAGGGCCACTGGCCAGGCAGAGGGGGAGAAAGCTGGGAAGGAGTCTTGATGTGAATTCAGGACCAGCTCTATCCCTATCAAGCTGGGCCACTTCGGAATAGTTCCCGCCTGTCCTGAGCTTCAGGCACCGTTTCTTCCAGGGGTCTGTTGTAAGATGCTTAAGTAAGGTACTCTGTGTGAGCCGGGCGTTGGTGGTGCACGCCTTTAATCCCAGCACTCGGGAGGCAGAGGCAGGCGGATCTCTGTGAGTTCAAGACCAGCCCGGACTACCAAGCGAGTTCCAGGACAGCCTCCAAAGCCACAGAGAAACCCTGTCTCGAAAAACCAAAAAAAAAAAAAAAAAAGATACTCTGTGTGAGGGTCTCCTCTCCTTTCTGATCTGGCTCCAGGATTGATGACTTCCTACGGACAAGAGACCGCGACAGGCTGTACATCTCTCGGCCTGTGAGGAATAGCATTGCCCTTCAGGTCTTCATCATTCAGTCTTCTTACAGCTTGGATTTTATGAGCCAGGCCCCCCCCCCCACTCCCTGGTCTCTAAAGGGCAGAGGGCGGTCACTGTGTGTTGCTGCTCCTCCAAACTGCTGAGCGCTGTCGAGCCGGAACCCCTCACATCAGTCTTATGCTGCCACAGTGCTCTCTGGTTTTAAAATAGCAGCTTTCATTTCACCCTGCTGCCCTCTGAGAGCCCAGCCTGATGCGGAGCACGGGCTATAGATCAGGAACCTCGATGGCATTTAGACCCTTTAGTCTATCAAGGGAAGCTGTGCCACCTCAAGAGGAGAGGGAGGGGGAGAGGGAGAGAGAGAGAGAGAGAGAGAGAGAGAGAGAGAGAGAGAGAGAGAGGGAGAGGGAGAGGGAGAGGGAGAGGGAGAGGGAGAGAGGGAGGGAGAGAGGGAGGGAGGGAGAGAGAGAGAGAGAGAGAGAGAGAGAGAGAGAGAGAGAGAGAGAGACAGAGAGAGAGAGAGAGAGAGAGAGACAGAGAGAGAGAGAGAGAGAGCTGACTCCCCTCCCCGGTGCTGAGCTCAGGTATCACTTGCAACATATCTTGGCAGTCTGTGTCCCAGCTGCGCGACACCCCAAAACCAGTCCAGGGAATTCGACATCAGGCGCTCTGGCCTCTGCCTGTGCCCAGATTGTTTTTAGGGGGAAGGTGGTGGCTGAATTTTGTAGAAGAAGTTGAGTTCCCATGATAACACACAGTACATCCTAGCGTCCGAAAGCCAGGGCCACCTCTGGTCTGCAGCATTCAGCTGTGGGCCTGTGTGTGTAATAGATGGGGTGAACGGGCAGTTAAAACACTTAGTGGGGGGGGGCAGGTGGCTCAGTAGATGGGTGGAGAGGTAAATGGGTAGATGTCTAAATGAGCAGGTGATCAGACAAACGGGTGGGTAGGTGGATGATAGACGGGTAGATGGATGAATGGGTGGGTGGATGGTTGAGTGGGTGAATGGATAGATGAGTAGGGTTTATAGATGGATGATGTATGGTCGAATGAGTAGGTGTCTAGATGTCCAGCTGGTATATATAGGAAGGGTGGGTGTGTAAATGGATGTCGGCAGGAGTAGGATACTGAATGAGGAGCAGGTCGGTGAATGTATCTACAGACCAGTGAATAAGGTTTTGTGAGAAAACAATTATATGACTGTGGAGACCAGGCTATCCCCTCTGAGTTATTCTGGGTCATATGAAGCAGTGGTTTAGATGACTGTGGAGACCAGGCTATCCCCTCTGAGTTATTCTGGGTCATATGAAGCAGTGGTTTAGATGACTGTGGAGACCAGGCTATCCCCTCTGAGTTATTCTGGGTCATATGAAGCAGTGGTTTAGATGACTGTGGAGACCAGGCTATCCCCACTCTGTTATCCTGTGTCATATGAAGCAGTGGTTTAGATGACTGTGGAGACCAGGCTACCCCCACTCTGTTATCCTGTGTCATATGAAGCAGTGGTTTAGATGACTGTGGAGACCAGGCTATCCCCACTCTGTTATCCTGTGTCATATGAAGCAGTGGCTTGGCTCTTTAGAGTGTGTCTTGCTCTAAGAGGCTTTTTTGGGGGGGGGGGATGAGTCTGTGTAGCCCTCAAACTCTAGACCAGGCTGGCCTCTAGCTCAGAATTCTGTCTACCTCTGCCTCTCCAGTGTTGGGATCAAAGGTGTGCGCCACCGAAGCCCGGCTTTTGAGTTTATTATCTTAAACACTGATTCTGTGTGCAATCTCTCCGCCCACTTCCCGAAACCTCCTGAACTTTCCAGTCTTGTCTTTTCATACTCACACACACACTGCGTGCACACTTGCTGTGTGCTGTAGATTTGAGAATCAATGTCAGTAATTATGATTGTGGCTAGTAATTACTAAGAGGACCTGCATTCACCTTGGCCAGGCTACCGACACAGGCAGGAGGAGGACCTGTCAAGGCGCTATCATTAAAACCACTGGGGCTGGAGACACGGCTCAGAGGTTGAGAGCACTGACTGCTCTTCCAGAGGTCCTGAGTTCAGTTCCCAGCGACCACATGGTGGCTCCCAACCATCTGTAATGAGATCTGGCGCCCTCTTCTGGCCTGCAGGCAGACGTGCAGGCAGAACACTGTATGCATAATAAATAAATAAACCTTAAAAAAAAAAACACTGGCTCTTGGGAATTTATCACTATTCATATTTATCACTGTGGCATCATGGGAAGACACACACATCTGTCCAGGGTGCTCATACAGCCCACTTACAGCATTGACACAAATCCCTTGGCCATCTATATAGAAAGATGACAATAAAAGGACGCTGTATAGAAAGGACCATGTTAGACTAGTCTACAAAGCTACACAGAGAAACCCTGTCTCAAAAAAAAAAAAACCAAAGGAACATGTTTCTTTAGCAACTGTGAAATGCCTCTGGTATAACTCATTGACTCCCGGGCCACTAAATAGGTCTTCTCTGAGATCTGGAACCTCAGAGGCAAAAGGCTGTCTTTTCCCTTGGATGTGAGCTGAGTGTCATGGACCCCTCTGTCACAGCAGACATTGCACCATCCACAAGACTATGAGCGTGGCTTGCTTGCTGAGATCAGGACAGCAATGGACACCACAGCCTCCTCCTGGGTAAAGAATGAGATACAGACACACAGAGCCCATAGCATCGATTTCAATGATACACCAAACCACGGCATTGGAAGGTCATAGTCAGTGTTATAGTATGCAACACTCAGGAAACAGTTCAGAAGGACAGGAGTTGGAGGCCAAGCTACCTCACTGTCAGTTAGGATGCAAGCCTGCCTCTTCAGAGCTAACCTCACCATCTGAATCAGGCCGTGTCTCCCTCACAGCTCTCTGAGACAGAGTTAAGCAACAGTCTTATGTGACTTGGCAGTTCTCAATCTATGGTATCGACTCCTCCATGTGCCCTATCACATAGAAAATGCTGAACTAAATCGTGAGGTATAAAACCTTCCCTAAGAGGCTATAAAAAAATCAGATCTTCTTGGCATGGTGGTGCACGCCTTTAATCCTAGCTCCTGGGAGGCAGAAGCAGGTGGATCTCTGAGATGGAGGCCAGCTTGGTCTGCATAACAAGTTCCAGGACAGTCCGGGCTGTCCTCAAGATCCTCCTGTTCCTTACAAGCTTTTGAAGGGGAAGCCCGTCTTTCCTTGAAAGCCCCATCGTGTTAAGATTCTCTGTACATTGTATAGTTTCTGTCCAGTGTCCTCCTTTCCATCTGGAGGCCCCGCCGTTATAATCAACCTCATTCCCCAGGGAACTTCTGTGTCAGCTTCCCTTTGCTGACTGAACACTGCAGCCCTTTTAAAGTCTCAGATAAACAAAAAGGTCCCCAGCAGCAGATAAACTTACAGATACAGATGCCTAGAGAGAAGCACGGAGGGTGAGCTTCTGAGTGGAGAGGCTGACATTTAAGACGAATGCCCGTTTCTTCTTTGATGACAAATCAAAGGTGAACCATGGGTCTTCAGGACTAGGAGAGATGGAGACGGAAGTATAAGGAGGCCACCCAGGGCGCTCAGTAACACCTTTGTAAAAAGCCACAGGCAGCGACCAACTCAGATGGGAGAGATCTGGGGTCAAGACCTGTGTCCAACGCCAGGAAGGACACAGTGGGGTTTTTTGTTTGGTTTGGTTTTTTGAGACAGGGTTTCTCTGTGGCTTTGGAGGCTGACCTGGAACTCACTTTGTAGACCAGGCTGGTCTTGAACTCACAGAGATCTGCCTGCCTCTGCTGGGAATAAAGGCGTGTGCCACCATCGCCAAGCCACACAGTGGTTCTTTGTCTCTCTTTTCTGCTTTCTTGTGATGCTGCCTCTCCTCTCTGGATGAGCCAGAGCTGGGGGGAGGAGCTTAAATCAGGCTCCTGAGTCCCCGTTCCTCTCTCCTCCCCACCCGGTCATCTCATCGTCCTGCAAGGTGACAGACACCTGCAAAAGGAGGTGGGGTGCCTGTCCTCTTGGGCGTGCTCAGCTCCGGACCTAGTAGACTTCTGGCCCCTTCACCTCTGGGCATAGCAAGCTGCCACCTTGAACTTTGCCTCATAGCCACGACAACTAAAGCCGAATAGCGCAGTAGTCAAGTCTGTGCTGATGGCAATGGAGACCCTCATCTAGGATTCTAGTCACTTCTCTCCCGGCTGAGGACAACCACCCCACCCCCCAGAGAACAATGACTGTCTGAGCTATCACTGCTCAGCTGATCTTTGGAGACACCGGGACAAGCGGCAGGTTCATTGGAAAAGGGGGTTCCATGATGGGAGGGGACTTTGTGGTGATGTTTCCGTTTCGGAGTCCCCCCATGCTCCCGTAAGTAACCCCTCACCTGTGCTCTGCAAACAAACCCCCAATAAGTTCATCGGTCTCACCAAGCAGGACTTCAGTGAAATCGTGCTTTAACTTGTCATGGGTGCCCACCTGGGGTGGGGGACATTCCTGTGTCTCCCCAGGAGAAGCGAATGCTGCACTTGGAAAAGAGCGGGTAGACATTACCACAGACGCCGAGCTCATCCTCAGGGTACAGCTGCCCTGCGTGGCAGCAGGACCCACTGGGGACAGGAATGGGGGACACGGTGGCAGTTTGTTATACATGACAGCTCTCTGAAAAGGGCACAGCATTTACTTCAGCAAACCTGAGATAGGACCAGTGGGCCGACTGCAGAGGATAAATGCCAGGGGTTAAAAAGCAAGTCCTGCGTCATCACCCTTTAGAAAGGACGGGAGCGGGGCCAGCAGGGACTCCGCCGAGGCTTTCGGAATTAAGATCCGAGTATCTCAGCCACACACCTTGGGGATGAAATGAACCAGCTCTATTTTAGCATCATAAAGTTCCCCGGGAGCTGGACCCAAATGATCTCTAATCATTACAGAATTTCGGGTTTCTGGGCCTGTTTCCAAGCCTGCTATTATAAGGCTGTTCATCAAAAGTAGCCGCAGCGGGTGCCAGGGAGGGACCCTCACAGGAGGCAGACTTGCAGGAGAAGTCCTGAGAGCCTCCCAGGCCCCCCCCCACACGGGGTTCAGGATCCTCCTTGTTCTCTGGAGGCCTCATTCCTTCAGCTCCTTATTGATTAAACCTCAGCACGGGGGTTGCAGATCAGCTTCTGGATTTCTGATTTCTTCCTTTTGGTGGGATCCACCTCCCCCACCAGGCGTCATTCAGGAGTAGGGTGGGGTCTTGTCTTGGGTTGTGACATGCCTGTTGACGCTTCTGGGGAGGAATGCTGAATGTCCCCACGACGGCTACTTTGGGTGCCAGTTTATCCAAGCCCTGAAACCCAGTTGTTTGGTCAAGCACTTGTCTGTTTCCCTGAAGATTTTTTTTCTTTTGTTTTTGAGACAGGGTTTCTCTGTGGCTTTGGAGGCTGTCCTGGGACTCGCTCTTGTAGACCAGGCTGGCCTCGAACTCACAGAGATCAGCCTGCCTTTGCCTCCCCAGTGCTGGGGTTTAAGGTGTGTGCCACCACTGCCCGGCCTGAAGATGTTTTTTATGGTTGTGAGCCTAGCCTTTAATGGCTGAGCCATCTCTCCAGCCCTGAAGATGTTTTTTTAAAGATGGGATTTACAATTGTTTCAATGGCTGCTGAGAAAAGCAGATCATGGGGATGGGCCAGTGGGCGAGGGCCCTAAGGGTACAGACTGATGGTGGCACACACCTTTGATCCCAGAGCTCCTATCTGAGGCAAGGGCGGTAAAGGCAGGCATATCTTTGTAAACTCAAGCCAGCCTGGCCTACACAGGGTGGGTTTCAGGCCAGCCAAGGCTACACAGTGAGACCCTGCCTCAAAAAAAAAAAAAACAAAAAAAAATCCCCAATGATTTATGACTTAATATTCTAAGGCAAAGAATCCCCAAATGTGGGAACACCAGACCTTGAGCAGAGACCCACTTCCCCTTCTGCCTGGGAGTAGGCAGCTGTAAGACAATGTTTAGTAAAAACATGTTTACTAAAAATGATACAATAAGTTCCTGGGAAAGGCCTTCCCACGGAAACCGCCCTGACCTCGACCTTGTCCAGAGACTAACCGTCCTTCAAAAACCCACACACATCCACCTCTGGGTCAGAGCAGAACCAGCCAGGGTAGAGGAGAGAGCAGAAGCTTCTCTGGTGGGAGCTTTTCTTAGGAAGTTTTTCTTGAACCTTTTTGGAGCCTGTTTAAAGTTTTCTTTATATCATTGAACGAGTCTCTGTGTTTTCAATACCCGACACCCTCCGCACGTTCTCGGACACAGGCCACACAGCAGACGTGACAATCCCAAAGACACCATTTTTGCTTTATGTGGCTATCTACTGCTGGGCTTGGGGCCTATCCCTAAGAGTGGTTTGTTTCCCCAGTAACACTCCCTTGGAGAAAACTAAATTTTTCATCTGCAAGTGGCTATCAATTGAAGGTCAGTCTGGGTTAGGGATGGGGACATGTGTCTCCAACCTCTTTCAGCTCTAGGATCCCATCTGGCGCAGACCTGTGCCTGCTGCCTCAGTCTCTGTGTGTTGGGACCCAGCCCCCACAGGGTCTCTGAGTTGTCTGTCAGCTGATAGCCACAGGTGCATGTGTTTTCTAGTCCTGGCTTACTGCCCCCCACCCCCCCACCCCCGCATTGCCCCACTGACATCAACATCTAGCAGGAGGAAAACACGCTCTCTTCCACCTGGGGTTTTTCTACTGTGTTGTAAGACTATATATAAGACTGCTCCCTCCTACAAGAGAGAGACCTCTTAGCACTTGCAAAATAAAGACACTTCTTTTTTTTTTTTTTCAAGACAGGGTTTCTCTGTATTGTTTTGGAGGCTGTCCTGGAACTCACTTTGTAGACCAGGCTGGCCTCGAACTCACAGAGATCCGCCTGCCTCTGCCTCCCGAGTGCTGGGATTAAAGGCATGCACCACCAACACCCGGCTCCCCTCTGGCTCCTAAACTCTTTCTCTTCTTCCACAGTTCCCTGAGCCCTGAGGGGAGGGATTGGATGTAGACATCCCTTTTAGGGCCGAGTTTTCCAAGGTCTCTCACTCTGCCTGTCTGGCTATGGGTCCGTATTTGTCCCCATCTGCTGCAGGAGGGAGCTTCTCTGATGGTGGTGAGCAAGGCTCTGATGTACGGGTATAGCAGAATGTCCTTAGGAGTCATTTTGTTGCTGAGCTCCTTTCACAGAACAGGAGTATTTGGTTTCCCCCTAGCTCCCTGGCCTATGTAGCCTTAGGTTCTTGGCCACCAAAGCAGCACTTGGGTATGGGTTCTACCTCATGGAGTGGGTCTTGCCTCAAACCAGACATTGGTTGGTCACCACTGCACTAGGAACGTCATTTTTGTAGGTAGAAAGGCTAGTAGATGTCCTTGGGTGGCATGCCGAGTACCTTCCAGTACTGTGAGGTACTAGCCCATGGGGGTGTAAGCTGCAGGTAGGCACTAGCACAGCTTCTCTGTGTTCCATGAGCTGTGTAGGTGTTGTTTTCAGCAATCGGACCCAGCTGCCAGTTTGTGGAGAGGCACCCATAGCTTTGACAATAGCCAAGACAAGGCTCTTTCTGTAGCCCTGGCTGTCCTGGAGCTCTCTATACAGACCAGGTTGACCTTGAACTCACAGAGTTCTGCCTACTTCTGCTTCCAAAGGGCAGACTAAAGGCCTGCATCCCTATACCTGGCAAATAATAATTAAAAAAAAAAGAGAGAGTCAAGACCAGGTACCTACAGAGGGAGGGATCAGACACCTTTGGCCTCAAGGCCTCTGCATTTGCCCCTGAGAAATTGCAGACTCGCTGGCTTTACAATCAGGTGAACCAGCTCCGAAAGTCAGCATCTGCACCACATGTTCTGTCTCTCTTCTCCCGCCTCTCTAACCCTGACTGATCATGCCACCAGGACCCCAGAAAGACACCAACCCAAGCAACAAACCCTCTTTGTTTCTGCTTTGGTCAGCTGGGCATGGGGTCAAATACCTATAACCCTAGCACTTGGGAGGCAGAAGCAGAAAGACCAAGAAAATAAAGTCCTTCTCAGCTACCAAGCAAGCCTAGGGCAGCCTGGGATACCTGTCTCAAGAATTACTACAGGGCCAGTGAGATGACTAGTCGGGTAAACACTGCTGTGTAAACCCGACGCCCACATAGGCTATTTCTTTTGGACCATCAACCAGCTCCCGAATCATGACACAGAGACCTATTAGTTTTGAACGCTTGGCCTAGCTTAGCTCTTTTCTGGTTAGCTGTTTTAACTTAAATTAACCTGTTGCCTGGGGCTTTTTACCTTTTCTTACTTTTTTGCTGTCTCTGTGTCTGGCTGGATGACAGCTGCCTGGCTTCATGCCCGGGTATCTCCCTCTTCTCTCCTTATTCTCTTGAGCCTGGAGTTGTTCTCCTTCTACTCAAACTCTGCCCACCAGCCCACCTATCCTTTCTCCTGCCCAGCTATTGGCCATTCAGCTTCTTATTGGGCCAATCAGGTGCCTTAGGCAGGCAAGGTGAAACAGATGCAATGCATCTTCTCACAATTAGACACACATCCGTGGCATCATTAAACAAATGCAGCATAAACAAAAATAGCACACCTTCACACAGTTAAAGCAATATTCTGCAGCATACCCAAATGTAACACACCTTTGCCTAGTTAAACAATATTCCACAGCAACCCGCCTGAAGGGTGGAAGGAGAGAACCAACTCCACGACATTGTCCTCGGACCTCCACATGTGTGGCCTGGAGCGCATGTGCCCACCTGCACATCGTAGACACACAGTAACAAGCATGAATGAATGTAAACAGCAAAACCAAAACAAAAGGAAGAAAGAAAGAAAGGAAGGAAGAAAGAAGAGTAGGGCTTAGGGGATAACTCAATCAGTAAAGGGTCTCAGTTCAGAAGTCATATAAAAACAGAGCTTGCCATCATAGCACTAGGTAGACAGGAACAGGAAGTTCCTTGGGGCTCACTGACCAGCCACATGGAGGATTCCAGAGGAGAGACTCTGCTTCAGAAGAAGGAGGAGAAGGAGGAGGAGGAGGAAGAAGGGGGAAGGGAGGAAGGAGGAGGAGGGAGAAGGGAGAAGAGGAGGAGGAGGACAGTGCACACACACACTCGCGTGCACACACACACACACACACACACACTTGAGACAGAGACAACAGAGACACACAGAGAGGCAGAGGATGAAGAGCCAGAGAGATGATCGACTCCCTCCACTCAGATGGCTTTTTTTTTAAAGATTTATTTATTATGTATACAGCATGCTCCTTGCATGTATGCCTGCAGGTCAGACAGGGCACCAGATCTCATTATAGATGATTGTGAGCCACCATGTGGTTGCTGGGAATTGAACTCAGGACCTCTGGAAGAGCAGTCAGTGCTCTTAACCTCTGAGCCATCTCTCCAGCCCTCAGATGGCTTTGTTTAACCCACTGAGTCAGCATTTGAGAGGAGGCCCGACACGCCGAAGGGTAACCGCCCTGCACTCTGCCAGGCTGCTTGCCCCCGTCAGGACTAGTTCATGCACCTGGCCTCTTGCCCAGGCCTCCCAAAGGCCAACCGTCCCTCCGCAAATAGCTCCCTTGCCACCCTCCTTCCTGCTACTCCCAGACAGAAGAAGCTCGGACTCTGCTCTTCGGGAAGCCAACTGTTCCCAGCAACTACCAAACCCACGGGCTATGTGTGAGGTCCCACCGTGGACTGCCAGTCTGTGTTTCTAGTCAAATTGTCCTGGAGACTGTTTCTTCTGGAACTTGCCTAGCAGGGTGTGATGATCTGAAGAGTCCAGAGGGGAAGAGGCACTTAGGATTCTTCCTCCAGGACATGAGCTGCCTGGGACAGACCCAGGTCAGGAGCCCTAAGCAGAATGCTATAGTTGGCTTTGTATCTCCAGAGCCCACTCTCCTGGGTGCCTCCAGCCTTGACTGCCAGAGAAAGTTTAGGTTCTTAATTAAATAACGTGTGGTGGTTTGAAAAGGAGTGGCTCTATTAGAAGGTGTGGCCCTGTTGAAGGAAGTATGTCACTGTGTGTGTGTGGGGGGGTGGGCTTTGAGGGCTCATATATGCTCAAGCTACACCCAGTGAGACAGTTCACTTCCTGTTGCCTTCTGGTCAAGATGAAGGACTCTCAGCTCTTTCTCCAGTACCGTGTCCCATCACAATGATAAAGGACTGAACTTCTGAAACTGTAAGCCACCCCATCAAATGTTTTCCTTTTTAGTAGTTGCCATGGTGATGGTGTCTCTTCACAACAATAGACACCTTGGCTGAGGCAACATGTGTCACAATTTTTCCGCTGCAACTACTCCACTAATTTATTCTTGTCATACAGAGGACCCCCAAGATGGCACCAGTGCTGTCTGAAGCCATTTAAAAGACAGAAAGAGGATGGGCGTTGGTGGCGTGCACCTTTAATCCCAGCACTGGGAGGCAGAGGCCGGCAGATCTCTGTGAGTTCAAGACCGGCCTGGTCTACAAGAGCTAGTTCCAGGACAGACTCCAAAGCCACAGAGAAACCCTGTCTTGAAAAGCAAAAACAAAACAAAACAACAACAACAACAAAAACCACACAACAACAACAACAACAAAAAGAGAGAAAGAAAGCCATGTGTGGTAGTGTATGCCTGTAATGCAGTGCTTTGGCAGGGGAAGCGGTACAATCAGGAGTTCAAGGTCATGGACGCTGCCTCGAATATGGGGTGGGCAGGGTACTGGAAAGAGGGTCAACACTTAAAAGCATGTACTTCTCTCACAGACAACCTGATGGCAGCCATGTTGGAGGCCAGAAGGAGACATCAGATTGCCTGGAGCTGGAACTACAGACAGTTGTGAACCACCATGTGGGTACTGGGAATTGAACCCAGGTCTTCTGCAAGACTAACAAGTACTCCTTTTTCATTTGTTGTTTGTTTGTTTTGGGGGGAGGTTGGTTTTTCTGAGACAGGATTTCTCTGTATAGTCCTGGCTGTCCTGGAACTCACATTGTAGACCAGACTGACCTGGAACTCACAGAGATCCACCTGCCTCAGACTCCCAAGTGCTGGAATTAAAGGTGTGCGCCACAAACGCCCAGCAATAATGACAATTACTCTTAACTAAACCAATTCTCCAACCCAAAATAAAAAAAAATGCTTTGAAAGAGTAGTTTTTTTTTTTTTAAGCAAAAGGGGGTTGGTCTGGGAGTGGCAGTATGTAAAACTATAGCAACTGTAATGCCAGCATAAAGGTGAGAGAAACAGGAGGATCCCAAGGGGCCAATAGCCAGCTGGTTTCGATCAACGAGAGATGCTGCCTTCAAAAGATAAGGGAGTATATCATTGAGGACAGTATCCACACATGCACACATGTAGTCCCAGCTCTTAGAGGCTGGGGCAGGAAGATGGTGAGTTCAAGGGCAGCCAGGGCTACAGGGTGAGAGTAGAATGACAGCCTTTTTTTTAATTTATTTTTTTTATTTCTTTATTACATATACAGTGTTCTACCTATATACCAGAATAGGGTACCAGATTGAATTGTAGATGGTTGTGAGCCACCATGTGGTTGTTGGGAATTGAACTCAGGACCTCTGGAAGAGCAGTCAGTGCTCTTAACCTCTGAGCCATCTCTCCAGCCCCTAGGATGACAGCCTTTAATGGCAAGGGATTCAGAGTATCTGGATGAGGTCCAGAGATGCCACTCACAAGTGATGATGTCTGTGTATATGTAGATAGTGAGGGCGCGCATGGCACAATGCGTGTGTGGAGAGGATGGGTAACTTTTGGGGGTCCGTTATCTCCTTCGCTCTTACATGAGTTCCAAGGATCCAACTTAGGTCTCCAGGCTTGCACAGCAAGCGCTCTTACCCGCTGAGCCGCCTTGCCCACAAGAAGACAGTGTCTCTTGTTTGCTGCTGTTAGCAAACGAGCTCCTAGAAACCCCTGGAAACTCTGATTCCCAACTCGTCATAAGAGCACTGGGGTTGCTTGAGCTGCTGTGCCCAGCTTTCTTGGTCCTTAGAATCTGAACTCAGGTCTTTGTGTTTTCATGACAACCCCTGAGCCACCTCTCCAACCCATCAGTCTCAAATTTTGAGGATTCTGGGGACCTCATGATGCAATTGTAGGGTCCTTTGAGTCTGGCCCAGGTCACTGACCATTCCACAGGTCTTAGGGTAAAGCAGCATCCATGTTGTGGCAAATACCAGAGTGTCGTCCCTTTTCTCAGACTGGATAGTTTTCCATTATATGGCTAGACCACACTTTGTTTATCCATTCATTAAGTATTTTTTAGCTATTTCCACCTTTTTATACCACTGCTGTGGGCTGATGGATGTGTAAGTGTCTCTTGGAGACTGCTTCTTTTAGGAGGCTGTGGCTATCCACATGACCATTGCCTTGTAGACTTCTGTGTAGTCCCCCCCACCCTCCACCCCCCCACCCCCGTGATATTTTGGAACCCGGGGCTTCACAATGCCAGAGTGAGCACAACGCTGCACACACCCCTAGACTCTTATGTAATTGTTTCTCACTTCAGAGATTCCTTGAGCTGTTTGCGAGCACAAGGGGTGTGGGTTTAGAGCCTTCACCTCAGGCACTGCTGAGAATGTCTAGCCCCTATCTTACAAATGAGGAGACTGAGGCATAGAGATGATAAGAATCTTACATCCCACCAGGCAAGTTTTAAACCCAGCTCATCTGATGTTCTAACCCAATGGCACCCTCATTTCACCAGACCATAATTATCATCAGGACACACGTAACGGCCGTCTCACAGCCAAGATGACGTACGCAGAGCTGAGGCTCACAGAGCCGTTCTCTCTGACTCCTACAGTGCGTTTTGGATATGGACCTCCCTCCCCTTCCTTCACCGTCCCTTCAGACACGTGGGTGGGTGTGCTAAGGGCTTTCCTTCCTTTGAACCCAGCTGCAAGCAGCCATCCCACAGCTCAGTAGCGACGCTGTGACATCATGAAGCTCAGAAGAGCGAGGTGTCTACTCAGCCCTGAGTGAATCAGACAAGAGGAAGGTTAGGAGCCAGGGGGGCTAAAAGCCCCTAAAAGTTTAAAGCAATCCTGCCAAATGGCTGATTGGCTCCACTGACGTTAGTCTAATCAATTATTAAACAATACTTTAATATTTTAAGAGTCTGCTCAATCACACAGAAATGAAAGCATTTCATGCATTTTTTTCCCTCTTACATGCATCCAAAAAAAAAAAAACCCCTAAAACAAACGTAGATATAGTAGGATCTTTTTTCTATTCCTCTCTGTCGATTTTACCTTGGAATCTCTTGCTTTCTCCCACCCCTCCAGATCAGTAGAGCCTGGGTGGGGGCTGAGAAAACACTTGTAAATGGACTGAGTTATGTTGGGCTAACTCTCAAAAGTCAACCTTGGTTTTATGAGCAACCTGAGCTGCTCCTATCTTACTGATTGTCA